GGGATTCTTTTCTTTGCAGTGTAAAACCGAGCCTGGGGGGGGTAACCCCCCACCAGGAAATTCATTCCGCGCAATGACCCGCGGCTGCGCGCTCGCGTGCGGGGGAAGGGGTCGGACATACCCCGGACCCCATGGCCCGTAGAGAGAGAGAGAGAGAGAGAAAAAAAAAACAAGAGAGAGCTTACTTGCCTCAATCGGCGCATGAGTCTCGCACTTTTGAAGCTGCCATTGAAGCTGCAATGTCTGCACCTCCCAGTCTGCGGAAGCAGCAGAGACCACCAATTCGAGCACTTTGGGTTTGTGCAGCTTCAGGGCTTTTGAACTTTTGGAGAGGAAGTCCCGGAAGTCATCCCACGAAAAGGGTGTCTTCGACTCGACATAACTGCCCCTTAACTCTGCTTCTGTGCAGGTGTGTGATGCATGGGGCCTGAGGGCACACTTCAGACTCGGCACGGATGTGTTAAGGCAGGCCCTGGACTGACAAGAGACATTGGTATGCTCCGTGTCTCAGTTTCATCACTTGATGGTTTCAGGTACGTGGTAGCGAACGATGGGAATGATCAAACGTACAGGCTCTCACTGCGGCGCGACAAGGAGGCCACGGAGAACCTAAAGCCAGGGCATGACGAGATGTCTTTGGCCACGGTGCCCAAGAGTAGAGCGCTGCTCCGACGGCTGCAAACAGGAGTCCGAAGTGATGGCCTGCTCCCCAGAGCCAGACTGAAAGTTCATCCGAGCAATGGATGTTCGAAGAGCGTTGTAGGTGTCCAGCTTCGTGATCTATCCCGGCAACCTAACGAACCCGCGACGGGAGGTCTGGGCCCTGGGCCTCTGAGACAGGGCTTTGTGTTCCGGAGACTTGGGGTGGTAGAACCTGGAGCCAGGACTACAAAGGGGAGGACGTCTTTGGAGTCCTGGCCTCAGTCTAGATGCCTCTCGAAGCGGATTGTGTTTAACTCCAGGGTCCGATCTCCTACGGCATGTTCGACGAGACGGACTACGATGCCCTCACAGGCAAGCGCGCCACGACCTGAGGACCTCGTGATGTCTCACGGCTTCAAAGAAGACCTCTTGGTCCCTCTTGCTCCCAGGTCGCCATCGTGGGCTTTGGTGCTTTTGCTGTGGAGAACATTCGCACCTGCCTGGAGCCTAGAATACGTTGCGAACAACGACAAGCTTTTTGCAAAAACCGTGCAGTTCTCGCTTGTATAGGTTGCGAGCACCGCGTTGACAAGATTTTTCTCGTCTGTCGGAGGTGGCCAAAAGTATTGAGCGAAGCATGGCTCGGTGGCTTTTAGGGCTTGGCACTTTAAGGAAAAACCTCTGCATGCCGCGAATGGTTTCGTCTGAAGCTCGGAAGGTTCTTTGCAATTCTGGGAAACTCTACAACTCAGCCTCAGATGGTGGATCAACGGATCCGCTTTTCCCGTTTCTTCAGCAGACGTCCTTCGCGAAATGGAGGTCGGCATGATTCCATTAACACCATTACCAAGCTTCTTCAGAGGTTGTGCACAAGCTGAAACATAGCTCCGTACAGCCAAGGTGCTGGATGGGAAGTCACGAATCCATCCCCCACCCCTTAAAAATGTAATATGGGGGGGGGGGGG